GGTTCGATTTTAACGCTCACGCCTATATTAAATTAAGCATAATATAGAAATATTCGATATATACTCCCCCCTCCAAAAAAAGTGTTACCGGTACAGCCGTCGTTCTTGGTGATGAAATTTCGGACTCCATTATTATTTACGAAGACATAAGGTTCATTCGTGATATTTATAAAAAATACGAGGACTAAAGGTGCAAATATTTACCACGTTTGGAAACCGTGCCGCGTAAGGAATTATGGGTAAAGCAAAACTTATCAACACTATATAACTCCAATGATGTCTAATTAGGTTTTTCTCTTCCAATTCCGTTTCGACATTTTTTGTGTTTGGGTAAAAAAGCTCTCATCTTTTTCCTTTAGATCCTTACGTTTTTTTGGTTAATTTACTTCGCAACTTTTGTTTCTGTGATCAATTGGAACTTTCGCTATTCTGATCTGTGTGTGTTCGAACTTCGCCTTCTCTTTTGACGCGGTTTGATGATTGAATCGCGTTTAATTGTTGCTGAAATCTGAGAAATTATGATTTTTTCTTGTTTGGGTCTATGTGTATGGGTGTGACGACTAAGAAAATTTTGGAATTGAGGGTTTTTGCTCAGCGAATTCGATTTTGTTGTTCCTCTACGTTTGATTCGCTTGGCTCTCTTTAGCTCTGAATGATGAAAATTATAAGACTTTCCTATGCTTAGGATCTCGGATTCAAGTTTTTATGACTACTCTTGTGTCTGCTTGATCCCCTTATGAAAGCTTGAAGTTAGTGCTGTTTGATTGGGGTCACAGTTACAGTTAATCCTTTTGACCTAATCACAGTGGTGGTTTATCTCATAAATTGACTCTTGTGTGTCTGTTTGTTCCCCTTAAAGATGTTTGGTTTTTGCAATTTTAGTTACATTAATCGTTTAACCTCCTAAATCGATGGTTGTTATGGTCTTTTTTTATGTAGGTTTTGTTGGTGACTAAGAAAACATGGGAGATGACAAAGACAAAGGGTTTCATGGGTACCCAGGGTACCCACCAGCTGGATACCCGCCGGCTCCTGGGGCTTATCCACCCGCTGGATATCCACCACAAGGTTACCCTCCACCGCCCGGTGCCTACCCACCCGCTGGTTATCCTCCGGGTGCCTACCCACCTGCACCTGGTGGGTATCCTCCTGCTCCTGGTTATGGAGGTTATCCTCCTGCACCTGGAGGTTATCCTCCTGCTGGCTATCCTGCTCATCACTCAGGTACTGTTTATCTTTTGCTTAATGCTTTTTCCTTCCCCCTGTAGTTTGGCAGTATCGTAAAAGTGGTAAATGTCACTCTAAGCAAGGAATTAGAGAAAATGGTTGGTGATAGAGATTCTAGGAAGTTTGCTATGTTTTGAAAAAACAAACCAAATTGTTAGCTGTTAATGTGGTAGATGTCACTTTAGAAAGAAGTTGAAACATATAATCATTTTGTCTATATGTTGCTGCGGAAAACGGAATTTTCTTTCAAATTAAATGGTTAATGTCACTGTAGAAAGAAGTTGAAACAGAGAATTTTTCTATGCGTTCATTGAGAACCTAAGAAAAACTGAGATTTGGTACATCATCTGGTGTTTACTGTTACTTTAGAAAGAGGTGGAAACAGAGAATTTTCTGATATTCAATTGTTTTCATATAACCGAAACTGTAGATGGTAGCTAACAGGAATGCATAGTCATCGACTGTTATTGTTATGTAAGAGTTCATATTCTAATTTCTGAAAGGCCATTGACTTCTTTGTCCATGATTCTACGATAAATTGGTTATATTAGTTGTCCAAAGATTGAACCTTTGAAGTGTTCTCATATGGCACAACTCAATTAGAGTTTTGATAGTTCAATGCATATAGCTAGTTTTTTATAACGATTTGAGCATCACAAAGAACTTTGCAGATTCGATCATGCGCTATTGTTTGCCCACTTTGGTCATTTTTTCATGTTAGTACCTTTACTTGTTTTCAGGACACGCAGGAGGAATTGGGGGTATGATTGCAGGTGCTGCAGCAGCCTATGGAGCTCACCACATGGCTCATAGCTCTCACATGCCTTACGGACATGCTGCAT